GAAATGAATTCGTCAATTCGTTGCCGTGAAAGTTAAGGGCATTTAAATATAGGCCATAATATGCGACAACATTAGCCACTATTAACAGCGTTAAAATCAATGTCTGTTTCAGTAGTTCTGGGATTCGTATCAAATCATAGACGGAGTCCTTTCGTCCGCAAGTATTTGTTTTTCTTTCGCACTCTTCGCCCACTTTCTTATGTTTAGTAATAATATAAAATATATTAATAGTTAATCATTAGTTTTGATAATTATATAAATTATCAATAATTGCCTCAATTTGGGTCATCAGGTTTTCAGGTGCTGTCCGACCATTAATTGTTGCGACTCTATTGAGAATTTCATGCGCTTCTGAATACCTTTTCTGTGTTATGAGCCAAGAGGCAGATTCTGGGATATATCTGTCAAATATTACATTTAATAATAAATACTAAAAACCTACATTGTTTTTATACCTCCAGAATATAATGATGGGAATTGTAATCGCAAACTGAAACACCGCTAATAGAACCCAATGACCGGTTATATAGACCACAAGCGGTAATATACAGCCGCCTAACGCATAGGCCATCGCTGACAGACTCGATGCCATCGATCGATGGTCTGGTCCGACAAATTCCATCGCTTTAAGTAATGCCACAAACAATTTGTTATAACTTATTAGGTATTAATTTGATTGTTTTATTTATTAAAATAGATGCCAAACCAATAATATAAGGAACTTGGTAAAATATAATTCCTATGCTTCCGCTGATGAAACGGCAAATGGAGAAACTAATGATATCCCGCAAAACAATCGGCGAAATCAATGTTAAGATGAAGATTATATTTGCGAAGAGGAATGACTTCTTTCTGCCAATCCTTGAGAAATATATTACAAATGTTGATATACTGGACATGTATTTTCATATATAGAAATTCAGTTGTTTTATAAGTGTTATAATAATTGCTATAAGAATTCTATATTCTTTATAATTAAATTTCATGAATTTGTGTAAATTAATTAAAACTATAATATATACCAATCGGTAACCGCGGAAAATATTGGAGTTCCGATAACGAGTCCAATTGATCCCAAAGA